GAAACATATCGACAATATCCTCACACATAACATCAACTCAGTAGTAGGCGAAATCCACTTGTCACTAACGAGGAGGTAGACAATGAACAGAGGAGAATTACCTACATTGGAATGAAGGATAAAACGAAGGACAGACGTCGGAGAATTGGATACTACCATCGACATGGAAACCGACACATTCTAACAGGTGGTAAGTAGGTATCTAGACTTCAAGTGATCTCATCCAATGTCAGTCAGTCAGTGAAGGCAGGTTTAGTCACCAAATGTCTAAATGATAGAGCCAGAAAACTGACTAGTCAGTGTAAGCACCTGAACAAGCAAGTGAAACACATGAAAGAAGCTTAAATAACTATTAATTATCCTCCATAGTTTGTTAGTAACACGTATACCAATAATGAGGACGAAAGGATTAAAGAGTTCACAGCCTCATGTCAGATTCGTTTATTTGATATAGACAGCATAGAGTGTGTGACACAGTATGATCTACTTGATAACGACGTTTCCAGCATGAGTGATTATCGCTTATAATCACATCTCATTGTGTAGTGACATACCACCTTCGAGATATCTGATTTTTATATTCCTGTCTCGCTGGTACAGAGGGGTGTTGCGTTATTCTTATTGCACTTGTGTGTTACGTGTTGATTCGATGATTAAAGATTCAGTAATCAGTCTCTCCCTCTCTCCACCTAGTTATATTTGACTTGAGTACAGTGGTTTTATCCCTCACGCAATTTTGGTGTGTGTGTGTGTGTGTGTGTGTTACTGCATGCATTGCCATTGCCTAGTTGCTTTCTAGATGATTGATCTTATCCGGATCTGTCATTTATATTCAGCTATCCTAACTGACTCCAATCGGCTAGTTTCACCAATGTACTTGATTTGACTGGCAATCATTACATGGCAACTTGATAGATTAGATTATTTTGCTGAATTGGATCTAAGAATATTTAAATCGGAGGGTATCAACAGGTTCCTCAAACGTAGCGTCAACTCAGTAGTAGTCAAATCAGCAATAAGGCAGGTACGAAGGAAGGAATGTGTATTGTCAAGAAGTGGGACAGTAGTCGTTATATATGGTACACCTTGCACTAAAACCATCATTTGCAAACTGTGCTTCATTTCCTCTTCTGCTTCTCTGTTGATATGCTATTCACACGACTGCCTTGTCCCTTGCATTTCTCTTGGCGGAATCCTTACCCATTACGCGTAATTCTCTATGATTTCTACCATCCTCTCAACATATACTGCTTGTATATCCATTCAGATCAGCAACGCCAACTACGTTAGGTGCAATTAATGAAATGAACAGGGAGAACTAACGACGTTAGATTGCGGGATAAGACGAAGAACAGACGTCGGTAGTTTGGATACTACCATGTACAGAAAATCAACATATCCTGACAGGTATCTAGATCTCAAGTTATTTCATTCAGTGTCAGTCAGTGAAGGCGGATTCGCTCAAATGTCTAGATGATAGAGCTAGAAAACTGACTGGTCAGTACAGGAACGTAAACAAGGAACTGAAACACAAACGTAGCGTTAACAACTATCCTCTACAGCTTATTGAGAAATTCATGTGAACATTTGAGAAACGAAATAATAGCGACAGCACAAGTACAAAGGAGTTAACAGTCTCCATTGTGTTACCCTTTCGAGGACTGTACATGAGAAACGTTACTTAGGATCCTCAACTAAGCGGGAATTAGTCGGGGTGAAATGTGTGTCTATAAACTAACTCAGAGATAAGCTTTGTCAGCTGGTTGAAGGATCCCATAGAACCAATTCAGCAAAATAATCTAATCTGCCAAATTCTATGTAATGGCTGTGAGTCAGGTCAGGTACATAAGTGAAACTAGCCGGTTGGGGTCAATTACAATAGCGGAACATAGAAATGTTAGCTGAATATAGAATGATAGACCCGAATAAGATCAATAATCTAGAAGAACACTCAGCTGTTGTTATCCAGCCACACAATGGAGTGGGTTGGATAAAATGACTGTAGTTCAGTTCAATGCAATTAGTCTGAGAAAGAGAGGGAGGGATTGATTAATGAATCTTCCCTACCAAAATCAGATATTTCGAAGGTGGTGTGTCATTAAACATTGAGATATGATTATGAGCGATAATCATTTATGCTGCGAACGTCATCGTCAATTAACTAATACTGTATCACTGAGAGCTAATAAGGATGTCAAAGCCAGGATCGGAAAGACAGCAAGACAGGCCTTCGTTAATCTGAACTGATCAGTGTGGAGATTTACCGCACTCAGAATACAGAACAAGATCCGGATATTCAACACTAAGTCAGTCAAATCAGTACTTGATTCCATGTGACGGTTGAGAAACTTGGCACGTTTTAAAAAGCATTTCCAACAAAATGCAGACATACATCAACAGATGCCACCTACACTCCCTTGATACTGAAGTTCAGATGGTCAAGAAGGATAAACAACAAGAAACTCTGGCTGTCAACGAACCAATGAAGCGAGAACTTGTATCTACTGACTGCGGTTTGGATGAAGTAAAGGATGAATCCTACCCAAAACTGTCTAGCCTGCTACTGAAAGTCAAATCTCTAGCTGTGGTAGTTGTGGGCGATTTCGATCGAAAATTAGGTAGACTGAGTTAGAGAGGAAGACAATCAGATAGCATTTTCGCGTTCATCGAGTCCAACTCGGCGGTGGAGACAGACCAGATTGTTACTAATCATCGCTGCAATAGGTCGGTGGAAGACTGCTGCTGCTTCTGATGCACGCGCTGGGATAGCGACCATGTATTGGTTACAGCCCTTACATATCTTCACCTCAGTGGACATAGAAAATCTTCAGCAACAAGACCACTACAAGTGCAGCAGGCAACCTGAACAGAGTAAAGATGGTGGTTAAGGATTTCTAAGCAGATAAATCTAAAGATAGGATCTCCTTTGATTGTTTCCAACCACTGACCGTTCCAGTCATCAAGAAAGGTGAGAAGGACTCTTGTATAGAAGTGTAGGTTATTGGTTTAAGGAGATGATATTCAAACAATGGGTGGAAGGTCCAAACACCGCTCCCTCCACCTACAATTAGGCAGTCAGGTAGTACTATTAGCCGTCACACGGTGAATATTGTTCATTGTCTACTGCACTGATGTGCACAAGGTTACTGAGTACTTTTCGATTTGATTCGATAACCTAAGAGGAATCAGTCTGACAAGTATGGTGTCTGAGATTCTTGGTTCTGTAATCACTGGACGTCTGAGTGGGTCTCAAGTGCAGCAAACCCGAGAAAACCAGACAGGCTTTAGGCCTGGCCGTGGGTTTGTCTACCAGATATCCATACTCCACCAGGTTCTGAAAGGTAGACACACTTACTGAAGCTCGATGCTAGCCGTATTTCTCGACATAAAGGTAGCATTCGACTCCGTCGAATAAATAAATCACTCAGTTGAAGGCTCTATACTCGAACACCTATGGGAAATTGTGTACATCGAGTGTTGCTCACCAAGGACCCTCACTCTCTTTATTCCTGTTTAGTTTTATCATAGACGTTCCTGTGGATGGTCTCCCGTCATCATTTGACTACACAGGGATTAGAATACGCAGACGACAATGTTTTGTTAGGTAAAGATGCTTGCAAGATTCAAAGTCTTCTGAACACCAAGAGTGGCTATTTAAAAATGGTAAGGAAGCATTTCTAGCCAATCAAACACAAATTGTGGCTCAAGGAGTGGCCTTCACTGGTGCCTTGGCTAACAGTAAGGGGTGAAGGGGTTAAGTGCGTTGAACGCTTCACTTAAATGGGAAGCAGGATCATCACTGGTGTATCCAAGGCCGACAAAACCTGTCAACGGATAAAAATACTCTTGACGCCATATGTGGCCACGTTCTCAAATCAGCTTGTCTATTAAACGTCAAGCGTTCTGCGCTTCACTTATCTCTGTCTTACTGTATGGCTGTATGAAATAGCTATTAAAGGCAGAGAAGATGAGAATGCTTCTGGTATATGAACTGTCATTGTCTTCATAAGATAAACTGTGTGTCACGAAATCTTGCAGTTTGTAATGCAGAAGTCAGGCTTACAGCTTTAGGGAGCAGTTAGAAGTCAGTCACTGAAGTTGTGAACGTTCATCGACCAGAACGACTGAAATGTGTGTTACGTACACCTTTTCACGCAATATTGGATGAGGTAAGTTTAAGCTTGGAGCAGTCAAACTAAACACGAAATCATTGCATGAAGTTTTTAACTGTTGGCCTAAACCATGTTGAGGTTCATGTGACAAGAATAAGCCATGATTGAAGACATAAGTTGGTATAGCTCGGGGATGATGTCTGTGTAGTACAGCTGCATCCACACATACTATATTCAGCATTTTCTCATTCCTCCTCCCTTTCGCTGACTACATCCTGCTGCTTTCAACGGATTCTTCTCTACTTTTTTGTCCTTAATATTACTGCTCTGTTACTTATCTCCTGGAACAGTCTTTTTTCTCGTCCTGATATTTTATTGTAGTGCAGTAATGCTCACCTCTATGTTGATATTGATGATGAGCAATATTAGGCAATAATCATGTCCTCTATCCCTTTTTGAAAAATATCGGTGGGAACCAAATAACAGTTGGGTTTCTTATTTCTAATTCGATTCTACTACCACAAATGTGTAACGCAAAGATTCTTCAGAAACATGAAGACTTGACTTACAACAATCCTGTTTACAAAGTTTTAACTTGAAATAAACGTCTATTTAGAAGGTTTCAATTTATTTAAAATTCATTCAAATACCACGAATAAGAACAAATCATATAATGAAGAAAGAGACAAGTGGAAATATTAAGGAGAGAAGGGGCTACTGATGGTTCACAAAACCCACAGCTTTTTCAATGGTTTTGTGTAAGAACTCGGAATGACATGAAAGAAGTTTAAACCTACAGCAAAAACTTAAGTAAATAAAAGTTTTTGATCGAGAAAATAGCCTGTAGCGCCGTTATTATGGAAATACGAATCAAGCGTCTGCCTATGATCATGCTTGCGAGCAGATTGTGATACTGGTGATCATACGCTCTTCATTCGTAAGCCACGGTCGACTCCAAAACTGGACTTTACAAATCTGTTGTTATTGACTTGTTTATAATGAAAGAATTACTACTTGGTCAAGCCCTTCACCACTTAACACACAGTTTTCTGTAGAGTTGGATTTTTCCACTTCGGGTATACTACAATTAGTTGGTGAAAATTTGACTTCAAAATGATACAGAAATCCTTCAACAACCTTTATAGTCAGTCAGGTTTATCTTAAAACTTACTTGTGATGTACCATTCGTTATCTGTGAGATTACATAATAGTTCCTAAGAAATATATTGCTATTAAATAATTGCTCAGCTGATCGGAAAGCAGATTTCAACTCTGAGTTAGAAAGTTCATCTAAGGGGATTTCTTTTGGTCCACCGACTAACTGGCCACAAGCAGCGGAAAACCAGAGCACGAAAACAAGTAACATTGTTTAGTATGACCTTACTTTCTTGAAACCCCCTCTATTTATACAGTTACTTCTGGTATTCAATATCCAATTCAACATCTTTTCACGAGCCAGTGTAAACCAATTAATTTCTTAGCGCTCGCTTCTATGTCTTGCGGAGCGTTTTCAGGCCTTTGGTGGATTCCGATGCAGTAGGTCTACCCACTCGACTTCTGTAGCTCAGGTTAACCCGACGGGCCTTTGGACGTTGGTTTAATTTTTAGGGAGTGTTGTTAGTTTGTTTTTCTTCTTCCAAGGACTATGATGCGGATGGGTTTCTCAAGTGTCGTGCCAGAAGACAAATGGTCTAAGTGGTTGTAAAAAAGAGATGAAAAATATGTGCTGGGAAATCAAGGGTGAGAAAGTGCTAAGAAAAGCAAATGGAAAAAGAAAAGAAAAAGAAAGAGAAAGACGAGTCGGAAAAAGGAAACGGCATGGAAGAAGGATCATTGATAGTTTTATGGAAGAGGTGTAATAGGCGGAGCTTTTGCCAAAAATTTAGAACTTAAAGTCAGAAGAATAAATAACATTATCGGACGGATGGGAATATAGTAATTCTTTTAGTGAGAGACGGTGACTGGAGGGGACGTCTATAGAAACGCATAAGGTTGAGCCAAGTTCCCAGTGATAGCGGCGTTACAAAGTGTTCAGTAATGGTTTGCAGCACCTAGTTGGTAGGTCGTGTCAGCCCAGTCCACACCCCAGATGGATGAGCGCATACCATGCGTCACTGCGTGACTGTCCAACCTCTTCTTGAGGCCGTCAACAGACAGAGCAGCAGCAATCTCGGCAGGCAATGCGTTCCGATGGCCGCAAACTCGCAGAGGGAAGAAGTGTGATTGCACACAGGTTTTCGCTTTTTGGTGGGTGATTCTCCTTGGATTACCACGAGGAACACCATAGTGGCCGCTCGGTAGGATTCCGCTGTCCGGATGACTTGGGTTACTTAGCATTTTGTAAGCCGTTATCAAGTCACCGCCCAATCTACGGTAGCTTAGAGAATAAGGTTCTAGATCTTTCAGTCTGTCCTGATGCGGTTTTCGCCTCATTCCCACGACACCCTTTGTAGCCCGTCTTTGGACTTTCTTTAGGAGGTTCACGTCTCTTTTCACATATGGTGATGCAATGACGTTTCTGACCTCTAGGTGAGGTCGTGTATAGGTCTCATGCAGCTTCAGAAAGAGTTCTGGGGTCGGGGCACCCAGTTGTCTTAACATGAAGTGCAGTACTGCGTAGGCTCTTGAGGCATCTCCTGGATAATTGGAGCCAGAGTCTAGTTTTTCAGCCAGTATTAGTCCTAGGTCTTTATACGTGGTGGTATGGGAGAGTCGTGTTCCACAGAGAGAATAGAGTACCTTCTGAGAGTCACTCGACACTTATCTGGACTAAATGCTAGTTCATTAACATCCACCCACTCTGTAAGTAATCTGAGGTCACTTTGCAGTGCAACTGATTCTGTTTCTGACGTCCTAGCTCTCCATGATACGGAAAAGGTAACACTTGAAGAGTGAGAAATGACTGAACTTAGACATTAACCTGGATTAAATGACTATATGGATACTTATTTACCCCTGTAATCGTTGAAGTGAGTTATTATTGGTAAATAAATCTACGAACATAAGAATCACTTTTAAAATTGATGTTTATCTGACGAAACACTGGGTCCTGTAGATGGGTCAATCATGTCGACTACTCACAATGCAAACACCGAATATTGTGCCGTCTGATGTGAAGAAAGAATTGTGAGCAGGAATGACTTAAACTCAGAACGATGTGTATGTACTGTGTGGTGATATTTTCCTGCCTTCTTCATAACTTTTAGACACTTGGTATCATGATGGAGTCTAATGCCCTTCCTCTGTATCATTCAATACTGCTAAAACCCTTTATGTTTCTCTGCAGTTACCAGATTGGTGAGGCCTGTAACCTGGCTTCTCTCATGTTAACTTCATAACTTGAGAATAAAGATGTTTATTTGTCATCAGTGTACAGGAGAATTGGGAAGCTGAGGTTCAGTGAGAGGTCGTTCACAAAAAGAAGCAGCAGCGGACCCAGAATCGCTCCTCGTGATACACTAAATGATGATGTCCTCTAAGTCGAGCAAACTCTGTTGGCTTTTATGCAAAAGTCTCTGCCGTCCAGATAGTTCTGCAACCATGGAAGCACTTGCCCCTTGATACCAAAACTTTCTATTTTGTGAATAAGAGCGGCATGTGGAACTGTGTCGAAGGCCTGAGTTAAATCCAGGAAAATAACATGGACAGGAATTTGGAGGTCCCAGTATGCCGCCCACTCAACACCTGCCACCAGAATGCTTGTGGCACAGGACCTACCCTTTCTGAAACTGTGTTTAACATCACTATGTGCTCACCACTTTTATAGGTACTCCCTGGCAGGGTCGTCTACCGGGCTCTCCGTCACTTTCGACACCAATGGTAGAAGGGCCTTGTGTCGGTAGCATTTTGGGTTCTACCTGTCTCCTCCCTTGAAGATGAGGGACAGAATAGCACTTTTCCACTCTTCTGAAGTGCTGAAACAGATTACACAGCGGAGCGCACAGGGCACCCGCACATTGTTTTAGTGCAGCCGGTAGGGTGTCATCGCACGCTGGTGATTTCCCTGCCGGAGCTTTGATAGCTTTTCGAGGACCATAGCAGGAGTTACCGTTATTCCAGGTAACTCCACTGCATTTGGTGGTGCTGAATGCCGGTTGGACAGTTGGCAACTTTCGTTTGAGACGTATTCAGTTGTGCATCAAAGGTAGCACTAAAGACTTCGGCGATCTTAAGTCTTGGGGGGTTTTCTCCGTCTAGGTCTTTCGGAAAGCGAGTACGCTGGCTGGTGGATTTTCTGCCTTCCATAAATCGGTATAGGTTTTTGGGATTCATTTCCAGCTTCTGGGAAAGGTTCGTCCGGAATGACCTCCTGTCTCCCCCCACTCTAATGTTACATCAATTTCTCAGGGCAAGATACACGGTGCAGTCAAACTCTTTTCTGGAGGTCCTCCACTTGTGCCATGCTTTCCTCTTGGCTTTCAAAAGGCGTTCAGTGCCTCTCTTCAGCCACGGGGTTCGCCGCCACAGTATCGCTGTTATTACTGGAACGTTTTCAGAGACAGTCCTCTTGATGATATCCCTGACTAGTTCCCAATGTTGATCAGTCGACAGGTCGCTCCACTTCTGAGACCACGGTGCTCTCCACAGGTATACTTTCATCGCCATGTAGTTTCCCTGCTGTGGCAAAGACAGGGGCGAGATCCCTCCATGACAGCTGTTCGTTGAGTACCAGATGAAACACTGCCACACCGTGGTCGCTGCTGCCGAATGGGGTTTGAACCTGTACATTTCCTACCAGCAGTAGGTCACTGGTAAAAAGGTAGTCCAGTTTGGACGGCTTTCCGCCCGACCCCCAGCGAGTGTCATCACCAATATTCTCGTGCAGCCCAGTTTTTTTGATAGGTATGAGTAGGTTTCGGTCGAATCTTCGACTTGAGGTTCCCTTATTCTGCCCAAGATTGAGAGTCATAGCATTAAAGTCGCCTGCTATGATGACCTGGTCACATCCGACGGATGTCGCTCCGGACACCACTTGCAGCAGTTGTCGGTCATCTTCTGCGCTGCTAGTATTAGTCCTACAGATACCCCCTACCAGGCACTTGGTGTGTCAAACCTTAAATTGGCACCATATGGAGTCTGAGAGCCCTGAAAGTAAGGCTTCAGTTGCTCACTTACTTTGAAGGTCATCATTTATAAGCATCGCCACTTCACCTCCTTCCTTAAACTCCCCGCCTTTTCTGAACAGACGCACACTGTCTATACTATTTTCGACGTCACCAATATCCAGTGATAACCAAGTTTCTGTTATGACTATGTTTGTTGGAGCAAGGCAGGAACAAAGAAATCGCGATTCTTCCATCTTACTCCTAGGTCCACTCGTATTACTGTAAAGAAATTCTGATATGTTTCTAACGACATGGGGTATCTTGATGCTGGCACACTGAAGAAGGTCATGCGTAATGGTGAAACTTGCTACAGGACGGCCAGCCCCAGCCGAGCTGGTCCAGTTACTTTTTCCCCACAATGGTTTTTGGGGGTTCCATAGAGCCCAGGCTTGTTGGTACACCTTGTCTGTTGAGAGTGATGAAGACTTCAGCGGTGGGTGGTGCTGCCATTTGCTGCTGCAGCAGTGTCCTGGGCCTGCTTTCACACCAGCGAACGTTCTTGTTGATGTAATCTTTTACTGCGTACCAAGTTTGCAGTTCTCTAGTTAAAGGTTCTTGACGGCCAAAGTTAACAGCCATCAACCGGGGTGACTTTATCGTCGTCGAATGTGAGGGACGTGGCAGTCTGCAGACCACCATCGCCCCTATCCGACTTGGCCCTATCCTGGCTGATAACCGCTGCCATTGCTAAAGGCCGTAAGCATACTTTTCTACGACTGCGCCGGTTGTTGGTTTGGTATACCGTGGACAACCATAGTTGTTGGTTTCAGCGTCTGGGGTGCCCCGCGAGACACTTTTCTTGCTGACCAAGGGCGGTCTGGTCTGGCTCTAATGCTGGATGACCTGTTGATGACCAGTGTGTGACAGCGACAAGCAACAACAGCTCGGCTTCCTTAGCTGAGCTCAGGGTCACTCTCATCGGCGGAGGCTTTCCCTGAGGTGGGTGGTTGCCTTTTTAGAGCCGGCACAGCTCTTCTTCTAAGCTGCCCAGTCCTAGTATGGTGCATACGGTTTACCACTGCTGTTTATCAAAAGATTCTCCATTCTCAAGAGGGCTGTGATGACACACGGGGACGTCAAGTAGGACGATGGAGTTCGATCTGTCATCGGCTTCTCTGTTTGCGCGTACTGTGGGCGGTTTTAGTGGTAGGGGTGCCCCTTCTTTTCCACTGTCACCTCTTTTTCCCGTCATACGATGGGAATAGCCGTTAAAGTGACTTCAAGGTCAAAAACTAATTTTGTTGGTCGCGTATCTGGTTGC